AATACCCTCGAGCACGGCTCAGTCGTTCACATGTCTGCTGGCCTTCGGTAAGTCAGATACCCTGTGAGCCGAGTGAGGTCCATTTGTGAGACCAAATATATAACAGCTATGCTACAAGCTAAGCTACAGTCTATGGAGCAACCCCACGTTGCAGTCAGACAGATATGTTTTATCCTCCGCCATCAAATTGATTTTACTTAGCAGAAATGAAATGATCCGAGCATATTCGGGCGCTCTGGGGGCTATTAGTTTTTTGTTGTTGCATATGGTTGTGCCATTTCTCTCTCGTTTCTTTGAGATTTCTTCTGCCGTGTGAAGTAAGGAGCTGCAGCCAAAAACGGCAAACATTTTGAACATGTTTATGGGGTCCCGGGTAGGGTTTAATCCCGGGATACGGGATTCCCGGGAAATCTGATGAAAACTATTTCCCGATTCCCGGGAAATGTTATGACGGGAAACGGGAAATGAAAGTAAAAAAAAAAATACAGTGCGCTCCTATTATAAAGCACGTGTATTGTTGTTCAAAGTTCAAACATATTTCATTTACAATCAACATGTCTACAGCTGAGAGGATGGCTCATGAATTGTGTTTTTGACAACAAATATGGGTCTTAATCGCGCTAAACCACGACTTGTAATGAGGCCAGGCTCAGGGTACGGGGCACATGTGAGCCCAGAATTTGGTTACGTCCAATTCTATCAGAAAGCTCCTTTCTTTTTTTCCATCTGCTAAGGGCAGCAACAGGTTTGGCTAACATACAGATAACACTTTTTTAAAATCATATAAAATGCATTTAGGGTAATGTTCTGCTTACAATGACGATAGGAATGATAAGGAAGAGAGGAGAAGGGTAAGAAGGTTGATATTAGAAATTGGATGCGCCCGAGAGCCGGCTGCAGCGAACACACAGGAGTTTATGGAGGTGGCACCCGTTTTGTTTTACGCTTTAAAACTTTTTGGGCTTATTTCCAAATGGGGGATTACATATCTGCGCTCAAACTATTATCTGGACTTAAACATGAAACTGGTCTGAACCGAAGTGGTCTGTGCTGTTCATTAATAACTAAGGTAAGACCCATAACACAATTGGAAATGTGCCTTTTACGAACTTTTGCGTTTTGTTTGAGCAAACAATGCGGGCATGGAAAACATTCTGCTGTAGCCAAACTAATTGTGAATAAGCCGCTCTGCAGGTTCTGTTGATTTATATGATATATGTTCATCTGACAGGGCTGAAGTCAGTGCCTCCAAACCACACCGCACGTCACTGGTCGACAAGTGGATTGCGCAGACATTTAGAATCTCATATTAGTGAAATTCCTGAAGAAAGCCCATCAACAAAACGTCTGAAAACGCTATGGCTACTTTAGCAAAGCTAGCAAGTCGCTTGGTGAAACACTAGTGGAGATGGCAGCTTTTGTTGGATTATATATTTGAGTGATATCACACATTACTTGGGCTAAAAACAACAACTACAAACAACAGCTATTTCCCGGGATTTCCCGGGAAACGCGCCGTCTTTTCCCGGGATTTGATACGTCTCATTTTCGGGAAAAATATTAAACCCTAGTCCCGGGTGCACGCCACTATCATACAGCGTTTGCTTGTCCTCCAGTATGGCGGATGCCCCGCGAGTTTGAGGCACCGTGACGTCATGTGAGATATCTCTATACAGTTTCTTTCACTTGGTTTGGCTCATTTCTTGAAAATGACATTAAAAAAATTAGGGCTGTCAAAATTGTCGCGCGTAAATTAAATTTTTCATTTAAAAAATGTTGCTTTAAAAAAAATTAACACATTGACGCATGTCCAAATGAGCCGCCCATGTATCCAATAATATCACTCAAAATGCCGCAGAGACATGCTTGTGTGAGATGGCAACAGAGCAGGTAGGCCCTCTGGGAATTCAATGTTTAAAATAATACGTGCATGACTGCGGGGCAGCTGCGGCAAATTTGGAGGTTTCCACATTCAGTGGTTGTGAGTCGATAACAACAACACGGTAAACGGCGCCGCGGCAACGTGGTCATATAAGACCATACACGTGTAACCGTAGGTGGATATGTGATGCTTTGCAAGTTTACCCTTAGCTCGGCTAAAACATCACAATTAAAAGGTAACACAGATAAGAGCATTGACAAAGAGGCATAATTTCGTTACAACACATTTATTTTAGCTCAGCTCAGTTCAGCACAGCGCGACTCCCCACACCTCGCGCACCACACCGCGCCGCACCACGCCACCCACCAAGCGGATCTGCACCACACCACTCCGCACCACGCCGCCCCGCATCAAGCCGCCTCGCGCCGCTCCACAACGCCCCGCACTACGCCACACCATACCATACCACGCAGCACCGCGCAAAGGAGGTGGCGCCGCTGTGTGATGATTTGTTCCCGTAGTCATAGACGAATGTTACTCAAATTGTAATGAATATGATAAGTAGAGCTGTTTGGCTCCCCATTTTACTTTGCCTCAGTCTGTAGGGGGCACTAATGGGCCAATTTCAAATATTTCACTCTCACCTGACCTAAACCCTGGAGTTGAACATTGGATTCAAGTTTTGTGCAAATCAGACTTTGTTTGTGCAAACGGGAGCAAATTTAATGTTTTTAAAAAACAGCCAAAAAACACTCACACTATGCCGCTCCGCTGCTCAGACAACCTTTCACTGATCAAAATTCCCTATAGTAATTTTTATGGTACATGTGTTGAGATTATTTGTTTTTGAGGCAAATCGGTGAAATGGCCGAGGAGGAAACGCTTTCCAATCGACATGTGTGAAAAGGATAATTTTTCATTCTTTCAATGAAGTGTAATTTATGGGCATCCTGTTTGGCATGGGGCGGGGCCATAATAACTTTTATTTCATGTCTTGAGTTGAGGAACATGTATACCAAATTTCATGGCTATACGACAAACTTGACCTGAAACCCCTCCCATAATAAAAACTTTGACCCCATCTGTAGGGGGCGCTAATGAGCCAAGTTCATTTATTTCAATCTTTTTAATCAGACTTTGTTTGTGCAAACGGGAGCAAATTTAATATTGTCCAAAACGGCCAAAAAAAACCTGACATTTTGCCGCACCGCTGCTCAAACAACGTTTCACTGATCAAAAATCTCCTAAGTCATTTTGAAGGTACATGTGTTGAGATGATGTGGAGCGATTTTGAGGCGAATCAGTGAAACGGCCGAGGAGAAGATTTCCAACCGACATGTATGAAAACTATTGCTGTTCATTTTTCCATTTTGCAGGGAAATTCATGGGCTTCCGGTTTGTCAGAGGGTGGGGCCATAATAACATTTTTTTCTTGTCCTGACTTGAGGAACATGTGTACCGAACACCCTTGGTCTCCAAAACTCCCATAGGGGTATTATTTTGGCTGTTGTAGGTGGCGCTGTTCTGGCATTTTTTGAGTCCCATAAAAATAAACACCAAAATATCAAATTTTTTGCCAGGTCTGATTTTTGGGCAAAATTTTACAACTTTTCATGCATGTTCAGGGGGTCAAATTAAGGCTCAAAATGCAGAATTTGACATTTCTTGAACAAAAACAATAGGCCCTTTCCCCGTTCGGAGTTTGGGCCTAAAAATGGGATTAATCGTGAGTGAACTCACCATTACTATAGGATTAATCAAATAATTTTTTATTACTAAAAATAGCATGAATAAATCTCCAAACCACCTTGCAGTGTTTCAAAACTGAATGTCATGTCTTGATTCATCAAATATAAAATGTCTGAATGTTTACATGTCTAAGTGATCTCAACAATTGGTTTGATACAGTAATTTACATCTAATTTTACACATAAATATCTCTTGATGATTTTGACTCAATTGTTGATTCTCTGTCTAGCGGAAGTTCTCTCCAAAAACTTGTCAGCATAATGTAATTGTGTAAGCCATCATATGTAGAATCATCTATTCAATTGTCAATATCAGTCTAGAGCATAATACCATAACACCATTTGAATATTTTGGAACATTCGATACATTCAGTAATTCTCAGATAGTCAGGTCACAGGTGAAAATATACTTGACTGATGAAGGAGTTTCCCACATCTGAGATGAACGATTATACAGTTTGTGTGTGACGTGCTGTCTGATTGTGAATGCTGCAAACATGAAGCTACCTCAAGGCCAGAAATACTGTATATGCAGTATGAATATGGAGGAGCCTCACTAAGTAAATGAACAAGAGCACCATCCTGCTCCTTGTTTTAATGTTTGGTTTTATACATCATTTTATTTAGTTTCGCTGCCATGTGACAAAAACATCTAGTCATTTGACAATGAGTCAACATTCCAGTCTCTTAGGGCACGGTCACATCTCACACTTGTCCACATTGCTCTGATGCAAAGTGCAGCAGTTCAGTGGGTAACATGTGTGTGCACACGTTAGTGTGTGTGTGCGCGCGCGCCACAGACACGAGTGCACACACACACTCTTTAGTAACGAGTGTAAGAGTGCTGAGAAATAAATGAATGAGAATGAAAGAATGAAAAGTGTGGCGTACGAGCAGAGGAACCGGAGCAAGGCAGGATACAAGTGTGTGTCTGTGTGTGTTCTGGCAATTAAAAAAACGCTTTTCTTTGGCCCTGGAGCAACACACCCCACTGTGCCCCTCGACCACGGTCCGGGGCTTATATGAAAGGATTAACACAAGCGGAGAATACGAAAGTGCAGGAAAGACATGTTTGAAAATGCCCGTCACAACGGAAGACGTAATGTGACACACAATATCACGTCCCCACCACACCTAATCCCCCACTCCCCACCACACACCACACTGACCCCCCTCATCTGGGCTTTACAAAGTGGGCCATGGTCCAAGTCTTCAAGCGAGCCTGAGCGCGGTTGAGGCTATCGTGCCCAAGCCCACTTGCCGTGGTCACATAGCACATAAAGCCCATATCTGCCCATATATGACCCACTTAAACCAGGCTTTAGGCTGTGCATGTGACCGCAGCCTTAGTGGACACATTTTTTTCACAGGGAGAAGATAAGGGAATTGAAGACAGATAAGAAGGAGCAGATTGGAGTCTTTGGTCGTACCGGGGTAGGAAAAAGCTCCCTAATCAACGCTGTTATTGGCAAAGAGAAACTGCTTCCTACTGATATTGGCAAGGCCTGTACTTCAGTCATTATAAAACTAGATGCCAATAAAAATGACATGAAGTACAAGGCAGAGGTGGAGTTCCTCTCTCAAGAAGTAAGTCTGAATAATGTGTTATTTCCAAACAACAGCAAAACTAAGAATAACTATTTTTTGCCACAGGAGTTTGATGACTTGCTGTTTTCTGCTGAAACTGCAGACCATCGAGGCTTTGATGATGAGAGTGAAGTTATCATTGAAAAGATGACTGCTCTTTTTGGAAATGACTGGAACATTCCACTAGACACATTAAAGAAATCCAGCAAATATAAAGTAGTATCCGAGTTTATCAAGAATAAAAAAGAATTTCTGTCCAATGAGTCGGTGAGTGTTTTAAAAAATGTTACTATTTGCCTGTGATTTCTGTCCAATAAAACAAACTAGAATGTTGTTTGACAATAATGCCCAAGCACACAATATGAATAATAACTCAGTACTCATTCTCTGTTCAACACCACAGTCATGTGTTAAAACTAGTGCTGTCAAATATTGAATCGCGATAAATTGCATTAATGTCATAGTTAACTTGCAATGCATCACATTTTTCCCCTTGTCTGAATGTGCCTTAATTTGGGTTGACGAGGGTTTGGATGAAGCAAAAAGCTCATATTAATCCAATCCCCTACGAAAAGAAAGTTTTGCTACTCACTGTCTGCTTTTTACTATGTATAGAACTATTTAACGTAGTAGAAATTACCATTATTACTAATGCTGTTATTAATGCATTAAACTATTAGCACAAGTTAACATTGAAAATGGCTTTAGAACAGGAGCTCTCTGGGGTAGAAATGTTGAAGACCCCTTTCCAAGACTGTTCACTTTTGCTTTTCAGTCCGCAGAACTATCAAGGAACCTTCAAAAATACACCAAAAACATAAGCGACCCATCACAGATTATGTTTTGGCCAGTGGTGAACTGCGTCACAATTCAAGTTCCAGAAAATGAGCTTCTGCAACACGTGACACTGGTGGATTTGCCTGGAACAGGAGACAGCAACAAGACGAGGAATGACATGTGGAAAAAGGTGCTCTTTTTTCTTATGAAATATAACCTTGAATCACAACAGTAGTTCTCAGCTGACTTTAGAAAACTGTTCATTCGCTACATCAAGCTATATTATGTTCAAATTTTGAAATTTGATGCTCAATGGAAATGCAGCTTATAATTTTGCCAGATTGGAAACATGTTTATTGTTGTCCAAATCTTGAATTTCATGTGTGTTTTTGCATGTTGTGATGAAGGTTGAGATGGGTGTAAAATTACACCACCTCCAGACTCTGTGTATATTTTGTGCGTACCACACACCCAATTCGGGATTGATAAATGCCGAAAAGTGCACATTTTTCCATACGCCTCATTTACAACCTGATTTGGCTGTACACAAGTTTCAGAAATGAGGGCCAATATCTCGATAATGTGAAACAGCTAATTGTCAAAGGTACTTTTGCAATATTATCCCCTACAATAATTATCGGCCACCCCTACGAGAGACATGCGCAAGCCCAGTTCTCCTCATGCATGCTCTCTTTACAAGTCACTGTTGGCATCGCTCTCAGAAGATTTGCTCTTTTTCTCTAAATATTATGCCAAACCTGTTTAGTAGAGAGTTCACAAATTAAGTATTAGTGGGAAGCCCAACCTGGGCTTTCATCGCACACCATCTAAAGACACTCTTGTTTGACGAAAACGTACGACGGCCATACATTAACCAGAATGATTGACAATTAGGAGGACCAATAGGCTCCATGATTCACCCGAAAAAAGAAAATCCTCCTATATACCTTCAATGTCATGCTTTCTAATGATGTTGCCTAATGGCAGCATGTAGAATGTGATTAGAATCAGGCCAAGTACAGATCCTTGTGGCACACCAAATTTTGCTTTAGAATAGGGTGAGGAGTTTTGGTTCCCAAAACAAACTGATACCAATCTGATAAATGGGATTAAAACCAACCAAGTGCTGTTCTACTGAACTATGTCACATTCTAGCCTCTACAGTACAATGCAGCTCTGAGGTCCAGCAGAACCAACACTGACACTACTCCAGTGTCAGTGTTGTCTTGCCAACGTCTAGCCAACAAACCCACTGTGTCCTCTGTACAGATGGTCAGCTGCTGTGGAACAGTGTGGGTGGTAACTGAAGTGACTCGTGCCGCCTCAGAGAAGGAGACCTGGAACATCCTTCAAAGTGCCAGCAAATACCTGGGGAATGGAGGAGTATGTCGGAACATTCACTTCATCTGCACCAAGTCGGACTCTGCCGAAGGGGAACTGTAAGAGATTTTTCTACATTTTGGTTTAACAAAAGTTCTCAGATATCCACGGCAACACAGGGGCAGAGTGGTTTGACCAATTCTAAACTCAATTCTCAGAAAGAAAGACCTTTCTCTGTAGAGTTTGAATGTCCTTTCCATGTCCATGGCCTCCGCATTTGCATCAAACACAAGAATTAATCATTCTTTTTCAAAATAGATTATGGTCTTGACCAGTGGTGGGCAAACCCCGGCCCGTGGGCCAGATGCGGCCCTTTGGATGCTTCAATCAGGCCCTTGAGCCCTCCTCAATACAGTAGATAAAGATTAAGATCAAGAGAGAATAGGATTAAGAACATTTATTCATCCCACAGTGGGGTAATTTCAGTTTATACACCATACACTACCCCTCTGTGCTGTGTGCAGAGCTATTTTTTCATTAAAACAATACATTTATGTTTTAAAATGAAGCCTGAGAAAAATATTGGAATATCAGGCCGCTGTCGGGATTTCCAATGTGGCTCTCAGGAGGAAAAGTTTGCCCATGTCTGGTGTCTCTGCTGTGTACCTGCACATGGAGGGAACGGACCACACTTCTGACAATGAGGGCACATTCTAGTTGGATCAAGAGTCTCTGCAAAGAGTATAGATAACAAGAGGCGAAACTCCATTGCCGTTTGGCAACAGCCAGTGTGTGCAGCGACAACAAAAGCCAAGCCCTGGTTCATTAGCTTACTGTATGTGTAAATACAGTCTTTGCCAGTTTCCAAGTGTTTAATAAAAAATTGATCCATAGGCATTATTCAAACCATTTTAGTTTGGGCTATAGAAATAATCATTCAAGAAAACTAGTATTCTATTTAGTTTCCTGAAAGCGCTTTTGAATTGGAACCTGTAGGCTACTTGACTAGTTGTGTTCCGTTCAGTCCAAGATGGTGGGGCTGCGGCTTGGTTACGCGTGCGTTTGATGCAATGGGACGTCGAGACTCGCCCTGAACAGACACAAAGGACTGCGCTTCTAGCTCTGTCACACCTGGGACAGGTGGCAGTTCAAAGGTCTTTCTTGTTGTGGTCTCTTGTGGCCCTATGTCCCTCGACTACATCTAAGTCCTGAAGAAGCTACCTTTATTATTCGTGTTCAGAAAGAATTACAGATTCAGATTCAGATTAAATTTATATGCCATTTGCAGTAAAACCACATTGCAATACATTTGGAAAAATCCAGAGTGTGCACCATACAAGTACATACAAAAAAAAAAAGGTTAGAAGTACAGAAATAAAAAAAGGTGCAAGAAACCATTGCAGAGCGGAGCACCTTCTTTGGGCCCTCCTTTCTTTGGCTGTGATGTTGAACCCAGAACCAACAAGCAAACTTTCAATGATGCAGCGATGAAAATTGAATATTAATCACAGTGCTGATTTTGTAGCTCACCGGAAAAATTCAAGAATGAAATCTCACAAAACAAAGATGTTCAACACATTAAGGTGAGTATTATGTGTTGACTTGTGTGTTACTACATGGAATGAGTGGATTATTTGACTATGCAGTGGATTATGCAGGTTAAACATGTTTTCAAAGCTGTTCTGTAAAATAATATTCAAAGGACCTGAGCTTATTAAAGGAGACCCAGATCTCTCAAACCCACCTTCTATGATGTTTTCATACACCTTTACCACATTATTTTTGTGACTAGTGAATTTTGATGACATTCAAGGTTATCTGAAACGATTCAAATCACCTTTTAATATAATAGCTGTTTCAGAAACGTGGTTGAATGAAAATAACAGTAGTGGTTTTTAAATGAATGGTTATGAAATGTTTTACACAAACCGGCAGAACAAGAGGGGAGGAGGCGAGGCATTATATATTGATAAAGATATAAACTGTAAAATTGTAGAGAATATGTCTGTAGCAGTGGACGAACTTTTTGAATGTGTGACTGTAGCACTGGCAATGCCAAAAAAGAAGGCAATTATTGCCATCTGTTTTTACAGAGCACCAGGATCAGACCTGAAAACATTCAAGGAATAGATTGAAAAAACATTCATTAATAAAACAAAAATTATATTATTTGTGGTGATTTTAATTTCAAACTACTAAATCCTAATAAACATAAATGCACAAACTAATTCACAGATACAATGTTTTCCATGGGTCTGTACCCTCTGATTACAAGACCCACAAGAATCACAGCATCTAGTGCCACTTTAATTGACAATATATTCTGCAACATATTTGACAAGGATATAAGTGTTCTTGTAGTTCTTGTAAATGATGCCTTGTAAATGAGTTCTTGTAAATGATGCCAGCGACCACTTACCAGTTTTTATGTTATACAATGTTAATTCTGAGATAACTAAACTTGTTAACACTGAATGTTATCACAGAGCAATCAATACTAAATTTAAAGAACGATTTGGCAATGCAGAAATGGGAATTTATTTATGAAATGTCAGAAATTAACACAGCTTACAACTCTTTTCTTGACTTATTTATTAATGTCTATGACAAACATTGTCCAGTCAAAAAGTGCACACTAAGAGACTCCACAAAAACCCCATGGATAACGAACGGGCTTTCTAACGCTTGCAAAAAGAACAAATATTTATATAGAGAATTTTTTAGATTAAGACCTTCGGACAAAAGTGGCAATAGAACCGAGTGCGGACATGGGATAGACTGTGATGGTCATGGGACGGGGGGGTTGCGTCATCATGATAGCAACGCGTCATCGGCCTACGTCAGTAAAATGACGTATGCAGCAGTCAACTCGAGGACTGCTATTGTAACAGTAGCAGTATGGTTTTCACAGGAGCAGTTGACTGCTTAACCTAAACTTTACATAAAACTTTGACTCTTCAAACCCACATAACACAACACGGAACCATCAACATCTCGCCTCAAATTGCATTAAAAGTGACATTTGTGTCTTAATTCGTTCGTATTTTAACTTTTAAAGCAATTCACGGACTTCATGTCCACCATCTTGGTTTGCTTCGGCTGCCGTGAGACGTGCATGTGCAGGTTTGCATTACATCATTAACAGCTGGGCAGAACACCGGCATTTGGCAACCCATGGGAGTTGTGTGCTTCGATGTGAGTGGTTGAAAGAACACGTCATTCAAGATAACAGACAAGTGGTTTATCCAATTACATACAAGGATTTTTTTTACAAGGCCCGCCTTCTGAAATGTATCCGCTATGAAGGAGACCCAGACCCATGTGTGAAGCTCAGCGAACTACAACGGTCTGGCGAGAGTCAGGCTAGTATAATCCTGGTTTATACTAATGTAGTATCTGATCTTTCATTTCTAATAATTACAGATATATTCAGATGTATTAATGCATTGAGAAGCTGGGGGTGTTTTTGCATTGAGAAACATCTGCTATGAGCAAACCTTGGTTTACATTTGTGAGGCCACTCTTAGGCGCCCGGAAAAGAAAAAGAATGCTGACCAGGCCATTAAGAAGCAGGCTTGCTGTTTATTTCTGAGTCTAGAGATCATGAGTCATATTTGACATGTGTTTTTGGTTCAGGGCATTACATGTTACTCTGGTATAAGACCAGAGCTTCTCTTTTAGTCTTGGTCTTTCTGCCTTTGCTCGATGCCATCTACTGCAGGGGACCCAGGCTGAAGCCTGTCATTTGCCTTTATTCTGTTTTATACATTAAACCTACTTTTTTATATCTAAGCAGAGTCTGATCATTTCCATATCACAATCACTGGTTGTGTGGGAGGGAAACCCAGATTATTTACCACACTAGCCTGGTCTCATTTAAATTCCTATTGAAGGAGAGATTGACTGAAATGTGCAGATGTCACTCTTGAGCTGGATATTGTAAACAATTTGATGTATTTTTATAATGTAATTGTTGGTGCTTGCTTGTGGATGTATGTTATTTGTTACTAAGGTGTTCTTGGTCAGGTCTCCTTCGTAAAAGAGATTTTATCTCAAGGGACTTCCTGGTTAAATAAAGGTTAAATTAATAGATACATTTAGTCATGGTTTAGTCCACTCGGTGGCTCAGGCATCTGTTCCGGATGTCTCCTGGATGCCTCCCTGGGGAGGTGTTCCAGGCACGTCCCACCGGGAGGAGACCCCAGGGAAGACCATAGACTGTAAATATTAACGGATGTAGTCACGCCTATCTCCTTCGTTCAAACAAATGGGCCAAAAAATGTGCTCTACAAGAACTATCCAAAATGGCAGCGAGTGGTCCCGCCCACAAGAAAATTGTGAAAAAACGCATCTGCGCATTTGTCAGCCGGCGCAAGCTCCATTCATTTGAACAAGAGACTTCAAAATTTCACAGCGAGTAAACTAGAGTGGTCCAAAATAATTCACCCCCCTCAGCATTGACACACATGTGGAACGGAGCTTTGGGCCAAGGGCCAACTTTTGGACCATCCAGTAAAGAAGTTTTTGAGAGGTCTGCCAATGTTATATGTTAGCATTGGCTAATTCTTATTCCGGGTCCACCCCCATCGGCCCGGGGTTGTATTGCAAGCATGTCAGCGCATGTCATTTTGGCCAATTTTGAGCTGGGACCCGCCCCCACTGGGGAAGACCCAGGACATGCTGGAGGGACTATATGTCTCTCAGCTGGCCTGGGAACGTCTTGGGGTCCCCCCGGACAAACTGGAGGAAGCGTGTGTGGATAGGAAATTCTGGGCTGCCCCCGCGACCCGGCATCGGATGAAGCGGAAGATAATGGATGGATTTATATACATATATACAGTACAGACCAATAGTTTGGACACACTTGACACTCAATGAGTGTTCTTTTTTTTAATGACTATTGACTATAGATTCACACCCAGATTATTAGACCAATAAGGACAGTGGTGGGGTGCTGGGCCTGAATCCAATCCAGATGGTTTTGGGGCTGGACCACAGAGTGAAGGCAAAAGGGCCAACAAGTGCTAAGAATCTGTGGGAACTCAGACCATTTCGGGTCCTCTTGAAGCTCATCAAGAGAATGCCAAGAGTGTGTGAATCAGTAATCAGAGCAAAAGGTCCTACTTTGAAGAACTTAGAACAGGGGTCGGCAATGCGTCTCTTTAGTATGCCCCTCCTGGAGCCTTTTTAAAAATGTCTGCAAATGAAGTGTGAGGGCTATATTTGGTTTTTAGTTTGAATGTGGTTTCTGTAGGAGGAAAAACATTCTTAATGTTTGTAAATGCTGCAAAAATGTGCACAAGTAATATTCAATTAAAAAATTTCTGTCAACGTAGTGCGTCATATCCGGTGACGCGGCTGTTATGGAAGTTTCTATCCAAAGCAAGGAAGAAGCTCAAAGGTCTTTGTCTTAATTCAGGAGCGTAAGTTTATTGTACACACGTGCGGAGAGCTAACATATACAAAAGACAGCATATACCAGCTCTGGCGCGCAGAGCTCAGGTTCCTGTTTACATAGACAACACATAAAGACAGTCACGCCCACAACAGATGGGAGGGGGCCACCAGTACAGGAGGCGCATAGGGAGAGGCGCCATGCCCGTGGTGAGGCAATCAGACAGTGGCATGGAGTTGCAAACAGACAGACAATGGTCATGCAGGATGTAGAGAGGCAGGCATACAGATGCGAAATTGGGACAGGGGTGAGACAGTGATTTGCATCATTGTCTGGCGGTGCGGGAAGGACTGGCTCCTTCCTGCAGGTTAGCTGGATAGAGCAGCAGGGGGGGGTGAGTTGGCGTCCCCGAGTCACAAGCAGATTGCCATCACACTCCTCTCCCGTGATAATGTAGAAACTCCAGTTTTACAGAGATCACATTCAGGTGGGTGAGTATTGACCTTGACCCCTGAGCAAAACAAGAGTTGTTGATGGGCAGGCTAGGCTGCCGTCACCCAAGCCTCTTGTATTACGAGGGTGTGGTCAAAGCTCTTCACTGTGATACCCTTCCCCTAAACTGTAGGCGAAACAAGTGGAAAAATAAAAACAAGGTAAACAAGAAAGAAAAACGTTAGACAAAGTCATCGTCCGAGTCGCTGATATAATCAGGATCGGAGTTCAGTGGGACAGCGGCCAGGTCCGCCTCGGGGTCTTTGCATTGAATGGACACAAAGTGAGTGGATATCATCTTACCAACGGCCCGAAACACCATAGGTAATACACATGAAAATAAAATCATAACAGTCAATAGGGCTAAACCAAGATTAATGAGCACACTCCGCCAGGAGGACAGGAGCCAGTCCAGACCGTGAGGAGTGTCCGTGACATTGTCCGCTTGCATGGCGTCCCGGAGTCTAGTCAGATTGGCTATGCCCTGTTGGATAGGACCTCCGTCCTCATCATTAGCCGGAATATATGTACAGCAGGACGACCCAATGATCGTGCATACGCCTCCCACAGACGCGGTCAGGTGGTCCAGGACCAACCGGTCCTGAAGAACAACGGCACGTAGGTCGTGAAGTTCAGCTCTCTGTGATTCAAGTATGGCCACTGTGGTATTGACAAAACCTGAGAACCTATAGCTCA